ACAGAATTTATCAATTAGAAATTTCAAATTTGCTGTTTTTAGTACAACAGTAATATAAAGAAGACAATATTAGGCTATTATCAAGCAAAATGGAACTTTCAGAGACGTGTGATATGGCTGTATGCACAAAAAACTGACACTTAAGAATTCTTAAAAATTATTAGAGTATGGAGATTTTTTTTTATTTCAAGTGTAAGCCATTGTTTTTACAGCAGCTGTAGATTGTTTACCACATGACCCATTTCGTCAAAGTTATCGAATGTTTTCAGTGACCACGACAAGAAGAGGAAAGTGTCCATTGTTAACCTATTCCAACATGCTCTATTATTAACCTTATTATTAACCTAATTTATTGCTCCATATGATCATTCACTGAAATTTCTTACATAAGGAAATTGCAAAACAAAAACTAAACTAATCTTCGAAAAATGTTTCTTGGAAAATTTGCTGATATAAAATAATATGTAATTTGCATTATATTTTCACTTCTTTGCACCATTACGCTAGTATATAATTATAGAATAAACCATAATTTTGAAGAATATGTTCAGATTAACACTAAACAACCATTTAAAGTTTATTGCTTAGAGATATTTTTAGTTTCAGTTTTTCTCACTTTTCTCACTTTATTATTCGAACATTATTTTGGTTTCGGATTTTGAAAAACTGCAAGCCATTTAAACATGTGATTTTTTCCGTGTCGAAAGGTAACGAGCTCTTACGAATTTGAAATATAAATAAATTCATAGTTTAAAAAATGAAATCACACAATCTTGAGAAAAAGAATATTTTATGAAAGGATTTTTTTAAATTTATACTAAGACAATAAAAAAAGTCTTTGAGGAAATTTTAGAATAGTCCATTTTTTTATTCTACATGGTATTTTTGAATTGATGTTGTTTTTTTAAAGCAAAAATAATGATGTGAGTTTAGACCACTTAAAGCAGATAAAAATTTCATAGAGTTAGCAAGTAACTTAATTCTTCAGGTGAAGCATACATGTTCTCTTATTTTCTTGTTTTATCGCAAGTACTATTTGTGATTATGAAACCACAAAATTCGTTTAAAAAAATCTAAGTTAATAGAAGCAAAAGACTTATTTAAGGATGGGGCAAATTTTTTGAGTAGTTACTCAAAAAAAAACATTTAGCAGCTCTTGAAATAAAAAATAATTTTATTTATTTATTTTTTTAAGTATCATGCTAGCATATCAGCTATTCTTGGAAATGAGGTTATAAATTTTATTCGAGAGTCCAGCCGTAACCGTACATCATGGCATATATTTCTACCATTTCGGAATAATCGCATTTTTTTCATACTATTCATTTTCACCACAAATAAATTAACCATGTATAATGAGATAAAAGAAAAGTAAATCCTTGACTTCTACCTATCTTCATATTTAATCTTTTAGATATCTTAGTATTGAATATATTGCCAAAAACGGAACTGCAGACTCTACATATGCTTTGCAATAACTACCAAAAAAATAAATTTCTTAATAATTGTTGAAAAAATTTAACTGTATTAACCATTTTTTTAATTCTTTATTCCTAACATATTATGAATTTTTGAAAATATTAATACGTAACTTGCCGCTTGTATTGAGATATAACCTCTCAAATACAACGTTTTCTCAAAACCTTTCATCTGAAATAAGCTAATAATTTTACAATTTTTTTTCCTTTTTCTTTCTTTCTTCCTTTCTTTCTTTCTTTTTTTTTTTTTTTTTACTTATCTTAAGTTTATTGAAGCAAACATTTTTTTCAGAGACCTGCATTAAATTATTAAATTATAATTTGTTATTTTGTAATGTGCTTTTGATAACGAATCAAATATACTGCTTTTATAAACATAAGAAGATTACGTCCAGTAATAATCAATAATATTATCTCAATAATCATTTATAAACAACATTTTTTAAAACTTTTCATGCACTATTTTCTACTAAAAATATCATACATATTTTCTGGTGATTTAATTTTAGATTTTTTTATTTAATTTGAGAAGTAAATTACAATTAATGCAACGTACTTTTAATATTTGTAGATTTTATTATGAATATTCAAGAGAAGCAATTAACGTGGAAACTACGTGCAACTACCCCATCAGTAAGCATGATTATTTTTTTTCCATTTACTTAAGTATTTCATATGATCCACGTCACCTGAAGAGTTAATTATAAATACAGTGAACACTACAGTGACGACCATCGTTTCTAAGAAGACCAGATCTGAAAGTAACCAGTAAATTTGTTGTTGTGACTTATCACACTTGTCTGACAGTAACATCAGCATAAGCCTATGAAATTAATCGTGGCAAGGAGTGCAAGACTGCGCCTGTTTTGCACTCCTTGCCACGATATATATATAAATATATATATGTGTGTGTGTGTGTTGTGTGTGTGTGCTTGTATATATATCAATTTTCATAACAATCTTTTTGTAAATACGTTCTTTTTAAATCACGTCGTAGAGTTACCTTCATGTTTGAAAATTATTAATTATTTATTTAAATACAAATTTTAATATATATTAGTTTTTTTCGATTACAAAATTTCATTCAAACATACGAATTAAACAAACTGTGATCATACCCAAATTATTGAGGATTTTTTGGGAAAATGGTCAATTCTCCTTGATAAGTCAACCCTCTTTCGGGATATCAGCTATAATTTACTTGCTTTTTTATGTGTGCACTGTTCTACCTTATTTCGTGTATGCACAATTCTTCTTTCAAAATATACTATTTTATTGCATCCCCATTGAAAATTTTTAATTTATTTTGGGTTTAATACATGTTTTTAATGATTTTAACTCAGTCTTCTTAAGTATTAACATTTCCTAACTTCATTTTGCAGTGGTTTTACATTTCCTTTCCTAAAAGATAATCATAAGCAGAAAATTAATAATTAAATATATATGTGATATTTTAACTTCCGGTATTCGTCATGGCTGAGGGAGAAGGTATGATGACGCAGCTAACAAAACTGAGCTTGAAGTATCACAATCTTTATTTTCACGCATATCAGATCATTTTGGTAGACAAGGTAATTATCCAATCATACTAATTCAGAAGTCAAACAACAAAAATCAGCGTTACATTAAACAACAAAAATCAGCGTTATATTTAATATAACGCTGATTTTTGTTGTTTGACTTCTGAATTAGTATTTATTCGGCGTGTTATTGTGTCTTAATCCAATCATAGTTAAATACGATAATTTTTATGTACACGTTTTTTAAAAGTACGACGTAAGCATCTTAGACAGGAAAGCAGCCATCATATTTTATTATATCTTATATATATATACATACACACATATATATAAACCGCAAAGAGGAATATCTCTTAATATGATTAATATTTAGGAATCAATAATATGATTAAAAATAATCACATCTCTTAATATGACTAATATTTAGGAATTAGAATTTAATTTAGGAATACTGTTATTATTCTTAAATTAAACAAGCAAATGGATGATTAATATAGTGTTAAGAAATGCGTGGCTAAAAATAAACGAGGATAAATATCATATTAATTTCATTCCATATTACTTTCTTTTCGAATTAAAATAATTAAATAAATTTATTTAGTTTAGAAATTTGAAATTAAGATAATAAATTACTAAAGTCGCGCAGAACGCTACGAAATTAGTTATATGATCAAGAGTTAATAATTACTGAATTGTTTTGCTTCATATTTATGTGCATATTTTCTGTTGAGGTGTTAAACTTTTTCTCAATTTAAGAGTTATTATATCTTTTGATTATATATATGATAGCATATTTGATAACAAATATGAATACCTAATATATAATAAGGATTTATGTAATTCTTTAAAAGCACAATGTAATAATTAAGAAATTTTCTAGAGGTCACTGATTTAAAGATCGTAGCATATCCGTCTACCAGGCAGTAAGGCTTTGAATTTTCGAGATTATATCTTATTATCTTATATTGAAAAACACCAATAATACAGAAATATTATCAAATTTTTTTTTAAAGTAAACTGTTGAGAAAAAACTTATAAAGAAAATTTTGGTCATGGAGATTTACTATTAAAATTTATTATTTATAAATTTAATAAATGGGAAAAGTCTTAGAAACAGGAACGTAGAAGCTATATCGCGAAAAAGTTATTATGCTTCTGAATTTCTTCAATTAATGAAAACTGCGTACCAAAAAGGCCATAATAAATGCTTGCAAATCTCAATATTGGATCTTAATACGTTTAACCATATTCATACTACAAAATGCTTATTGTAAAAATATAAATGTCTAGCTCGGAATAAACTGAAAGTGATGGGAGAAATTACTCCCCATCTGACGATAGTAATTTCATTTCTTAAAGTGATTTCTGCATGTCTTCAGACGCAGACTGACGCAATGGATCTTCTTCTCTTGAATGGAAACATCAGCATCAAGTCTGTTATTTAATGACAGTCTTTATAAATCCAATATTAGGGAGTTTTCAAAATACCCAGCATTTTTCTACAAAAAATAAAAAAGGGAAAGAAACGAGAAGAAAAATACAAGCCAAACAAATATTTCTCTGTTCCATAAAACGCGACACAAAAGTGGCGCTGGCGTTAAGCGTCGTGAGCGTCTTAAGCGTCGTGAGAAATTTGACAAATTTTCTGATATAGATATGGAAAATTTAATTTCCTGTAAATTAAGCAAAGAAATGATTAAGCAGATCGAACTTATCATGAAAGTTTATTTTTCAGATAACTTTTAAATAAATTATATTATCATTACATCATTCGCTGTGGTGTCTGGAATATTCTATACTGATAATTATGAAATTTAATTATTTTCGGTCCAAACATAATCACTTTTTAGACATAGCCAAAATAAGGATATTTGGTATAATTTTTATTTATATGTTCTTCATTTTTCTGAAACTAACACCTTAAGCAAATTTTTTCCATTTACTGCGATCTTAAACTGAATATTTATTTGCAAATAAAGTAACATGGAAAATTCGTACTTACACTTGACAATGGGCATCTTTAATTTCCTGATATCAACGAAAATTTTGAAGAATGTTGACATACACGAAGGTGACAATTTTAAGTCTGAATTTCGAACAAAATAGGGCAAAGTCATTTTTGAGATTGATCCAACCAAGGCTTCTATCTCTTTTTCGATCTCTGGAACAGTCTTTAGTGGTATCATAGTTGATACATTTCCAACTGTAGTAGTTTCAGGCACCACTGCAGAAGCAGCAGGCCGCAAAGAACCCAACAATATCCAAAAAAGTACTATCAACAGCATTATAGTGTACTCCAACAAAAGTCCCATAAATCGTCAGACACTAAGTAAAACTTCCACTCTGCCTGAAAATACGAAATCTTCAGAAATCCGGAAAAATATAAAAAAATATTTAAAAAATCAAAAATACGAAGATCTTGAATATCCTTGACGAAAAAATTCTGCACTTTTCACATTCTAGAAGACATGCTTACATTATTCTCTAACTTCAAAAGATAGTCAATCACCTATAGTCGACTAGAAATATTTTTCAAAGAACAGTTAGATTTTTTTTCACCTAAAACATCTTAACTGAACACGAGTTAAGACAATACTGCGGGGTAACCGCAATGCGCAACTTGACATAACTTTTTGTGTCCAGACGAACAGAAAAGAGTTTTGTAACAAAAACCTTGTTTCTTTAATTTCGAAAGTCGGTGGCGAAATGATTACTAATAAATACCGCAGCGAATTCCTATTGGTCCTTTGCACAACGATTAAAATTGAAAATACCGCGGCTTGCTGGAATTGGTCACTGCGACCAGGTACGCAAACCAGGTATGCGAGAGGAAAGTTTCAAATAACTGTTTCTATTCTTAATTCTGCATGAAAGTTCCTTCAAACCTATGCAGATAAACCGACCTTGGCCTCCATGGTTCAGTGCCTTTGAGGAAAGAGGATTTAAAAGTGAGATGTTTTGCAAACAAATTTGTTTTTCATTCTCAGCGGTAGATGGATTAATTTTACTATATTAACAAGTAATTAGAGAAAGATGCATCAAATTTTGTGCATTGTTCTGTCTTAACGAGGTAGTTAGATTTATATTGAATTAGACTGCATAATTAAAGTAGAAATTTGTGCTTGCATAATTTCACTAATTTCAAGACGCAGATAAAAAAAAAATATCCCTAAATATTTGAATTCAAAATACTTACTTAAGAAGAAAATATAAGAATCGTTGGCTTTTCCTCTTAAATTTTCTCTATAACTTTTAAAGTAAGAGGCACATTACTCATGAAGAAACACAAATTAATGAAAATGTTATGTTTTTTCGCTTTTAAAATATATATTTCTCAATGCATATATTTTAAATAGAAAATATGTATCAAATATTCATGCACATCAATTGGAAAATAAGTCTTCCAAAGAGATCCTTAATAAGTTTCCCTTAAATTGGCTTTGACGCGTTCTTCCTATTGAGATTTGACTTATTTAACAGTTAAATGAGGGGAATGATGCTTCGTTGTAAATACTTAATTTTCTTTACTAATAATACAAATGGAGATCCGAATATTATTATTGTATATATATCTACAGTGAGGTTTAATCTTTATTTATTTATTTATTATTTATTTATTTTGTCTTCAAGCTCCTTTTTTAATCCATTTATTATTGGACTGAAAAAAGATTACTTTTAATGTATAAGGTATTTCTCCCGCCTTCCTAGCGTGCCTTCGTGGTGTAGTAGTCAGAGCACACTGAGCCGGTATTTCAGAAGTTCGTGGTTCGATTCCCGGCGAAGGCGTTGCTGATTTTTGATCTCTCTGGCTTCGAAAAAAACCTAATGTCTCTACAAATGTAGATCAAAATATGCAAATTATTCATGCTTTTATAATGCAACTAAATATATTCATCTGTTCCTCCTATTGTCATCTTCCGAATGTTATCAAATGTATGTTAATTATTTTTCTATTATTACAATATATACTCTAATTTTTTTCTCTCCTTCTGTAAACAATAAATTGCATAGATATTACTTTTAGGATTCATTATTGTCTTGATACTGCTGTACTAGAAAACTTAAGTCACTTTTGAGATCTCTTTAAAAATGGCAATACTTAAATTTAATGTCATTGACGGAAAATCTTGCCACATGTGATGTTTAGTTAAACAGTAATCTCCAATAACCTAATGCCGACCGTCGGCTATTTTTATTTATTAAAACTATTTTGTACTTATTTTGTTTATTTTATGTTATTTTTAATGTTTTGAAAAAATAACATGATTTAAAGTTATTTTCACTTTAATGATCTGACAATATAATGCAGCGGTCCTCAACCTTTTCACTAACGAGTACCATCTAAAAAAAAACTGAAAACCTTTAGTATCACCATAGCAAAGTACTACTACCACCACCACTCTTGAGAAAAGCTCAGATTGCATTAATTTACAAGTGTTAGAGGAAAAATTCAATTAAGATGTAGGGGTTTTAACTTTTGAATTTAATAGTTAAAAATACTTTGCTTCTTTGAGTACCACGTATTTTTCTCTTGCGTACCACCGGTTGAGAACCCCTGATATGATGTATAAATATCTCTTAAGATTTCATATTTATTTTATTACAGTCGAAAATATTTCGCAATAAAATATTATTTTAAAAAGAAAAACATTTGTCCTGACATCAATATAACAGAGGTCTCGCACCTGATAAATGAGAAAAATGAGCTTTTTAAAATCAATATCGAATCAGTATATTTGTGTAGTTAACTTATGTAGTTTGTAGAAATTTCTACGAAACTGAAACGAAGCACTTAAAATGCTATTGTCATGTGCTAAAAACAAATTCAATACAGATTTCATGAATGAGTTTGTTCATGAATAAGCAAGCAACAACTATATAGCTACTCACGGAAAAGACAAATGACACTTCTTACGTCACCAACCGACAAAGCGAAGTCACGATACATTTTCGGAAAGCATGCAGATACATTTCCTATTGTTGGAAAATTCTTTTTGAAAATATTATTTTTAAAAATATGTTTTTCAAATTTCATTTACTTTTAGTATTGCCCATGAAAGAACAATCGCTAGACAAGCTTTTCCTTTCCTTACCAATGCTTTATCTGCTAAAGTGAGTTTTCCTGTATTTGAGGACCAGTGTTTTTTCCATCACTGTACAATGACGTTAAATTCTCAGTCCTTGTCGGTTTTCTATGATATTTTAATTTTAAAGATGTGGGCATGTTTCATAGTTGTCTTTGCAAGGAATTTGGAGAGCCTTCATTTTTTATTAAGAAATATACTAACCCCTCTCTAGGACGACTACCTATGATTCCAGATGATTTTGATCTTTTGTAGTTATGGTCCTTAACAGGATGTTCAATACCAATGTTTATTTTATAGTTTTATAACATTGGTCGCTTTCAGGTTTCGGCTATTTCGATAAGGCAAAGCAGACAAAAGTTAAATTCATAAGGGAAGGAATGCCTTAAGTATAATTGCTTCATTTTCATCTTATACATAGTAACCCCCCCCCAAAAAAAAAACCATGCAGTCAACCCATTTGCTTGGATTCGAATCGGAGTCAAACAACCAGTACTTGGGGGGGGGGCTCTTAGTCACTCGGTCACTGGTGGGGCTATTAGTCACCTTCAAGGGTAATCAGGGTAATCATTTATAAGAGATGGTTATCCTGAAAAGATTTATTGCCTATAAATAGAGATTATTGCAATAAAAATAGGAACGCGTGTTAACATCAGCAGTATCTCTGCTGACAATTATTTGTTTAATTAAAGCAAAGAACTTGATAAGTACTTGAGGAAAGAATATATTTCTTATAGGATTTTCTAAAAACGTGCATAGCTAAAGTAAAATAAACTTCATTTTGTTTGAAATTTGAGCTTTGGATAAAGTTACCAGCTTCTGCAATTTTAAGTAAAAGGAAATTAGTAGGTTCCCGAAATTAAGAAATTAGTTTTAACAGAAACATTAGAGATTTTCCAATTCTTGAAATAGGAATTTTTATTCCATTAAAAACTAAAATCCTGTAAATCCCAAAGAATTTGTTTTAATGAGTGTCGCTGAGCTTTATTGCTTAATGAAGCTAATTTTTTATAAAATAAAAAAAAAAAAAAAAAAAAAAAAAAATGAAAATCTGAAAGGTTTCAAATTTTAAATTACGTCCGAAAGGGAGTTTTTTTAACGTTTTATGTGTTACCTTTATTTATGAAATATCATGTTTTATGTTAAACCATAAAATTTAGTTCAAGAGCAATATCGCAGAGTAATTTTAAATTGAGCATATCTTTAGAATTTCCGATCCACGGTCTCACGCGCTGGAGATAAAAATGTTTTTTCTGTACAACGTTGCCATTGCTCGTTTTGAAATCCTTGAACTTGTTAATCATTTGATTTGGTACAGTTTTACAAAATATGAAATCGATAATAAAATAAATTTCAAATTTGGGCTTCCAGATGCCCATATTCGCAGTAGGATTATGTCATTCAAAATTTAATGGCTCTAGGTACCGTTGGTTTATCAAAATGCGAGAAACATACATACATTTATGCAGATACTTCATTATTTAATTTCTTCAAATATAATACAGGGCGATAATATTTGGTGGGAACAGTTTGAAAAGTGAAAAGGATATTCAGAGTGATTCGACGCAAAATCGCAAAATGAAAACATTAGTCCCTCGGGGTCGAACCCTTTGGACAGGCTGCTAGTAAGCTTTAAGCATTAGATTTAGCTCTAGATTTTGCCTCCGATTTTCGTGAGAAAACGCAGAGAAACCTTAATTGTAAGAAACTTCTTCATTTGGGAAATATTAGAAGCTTAAATTATTAAAATGCTCTTAAATCACTCATATGTGAATTAGAGATTTTCTGAATACATATTATGCACACAACATATAAGTCCATAAATAATTATCATATATAAGAAAATAATGTAAGGGTATATTGTCACTGCAAGTTCAGCTTTGTAACACATTTAGGCTATGCTTTGCTTTCCGCAATCGCCTTCGTTTGCCTCATTATTTCCATATATATCAAGCTACTTCTTCCGAGACGTGTATAATCAATCATCCAAAACAAATTCAAATAGCATGCAAAGCTCTTTCCTAATTGAAGATGGAGATTAAGTATATCAAAATGTCCAGTGTGGTAACATGATAGTTTCATGGTTCCTGTTTCGATGGATTCAAGTTCTCTTTCCAATTAGAAATAGAGCGAATGATTTTGAAATTCTGTAGAAAATAGTTAAAAATAAACGGTAAGCTCTTAAATGAAATGTACCTGCAAAACTGTTGATTTTTATCAGAATAAGTAATAACGACAGCTCTTAAAAGTAATAAAACGGCTTGTTTTAAAATGTCTTAGAAATGAAAGGCTTACGGAAGATAGGAAATGTTTATTTATGATATATAACAAGAAGATATCAAAGAAAGTGTATTAGAATAAGAAACTTCAACTATGGAAGTAAAAATGTTTTCACTAAATGAGACAAAATAATACAGCATATTGGCAGTTAAAAATATGCCATGCTTTGAAACCCTTTATCGCATCTATCAAGACATTTTTCTTCCAATTTTTAACAGCTTCATTTAACAGAGCAATTCCCTTTTTTTCCACTTACATATTAGAAAACTATTTGGCGTCATTGTTTAAAATCGTACAAATCATTATTACGTGCTTGGAATACATCTTGTTCAAGTCTTTTGGCGAATTCCAGAGCATTTTCTTGCAGTATGAGATTTAACACAGGGTTT